CAGAGAAAACTTCACTGTCATTTAAAAAATGGGCAGGAGTGTTTGCACAGTCAATTTTACTAGCCAAAGGATTCGTATTTGTATCCGACCATCAATATGTGAACAGTTGTTTTGTATACTTGGTGGAAATTTCCTGCTAATCGTTTACGGTTTTCCACCAGTCTGAATCCACTCCTGATTTCATTTATATTAGTGAGGTATTTCTCTATGCAAATCTAAAATCACCAGCCACATTAACATCAACGCACAACGAACGGTACAGTGGTCATAGTTCGATTTCGTCTTACATGCCATGCTATTTCAAGTTCTTCTGGTATGAAACTATTCCTATGAAGTTAACAACTGTCAATTTGATTTGGAAAAACTAAGTTTGAATTGAGAACGCGGTGGACGAATTCGCTTCCGTTCCGATCAACTTATTTATACTCCTCGAAAGGCTGGTTACCTGTCTTCTCGTGGTCCTTCTGTGTTGAAGCGAGGCAGATCTCAGGCTTGCATTTTGTCGAGCTTGCTGACGAATGTCGATTCAGTTGATCGGTGAAGTTGTGTGATTTGCATGATGCATCTAAGCTGACCGTTAATCGATAAACACAAGTGTGTGTGTGTGTATTTACATCAATTACCACGAGTTACCTCCAATGGTAGCCGTTCCTCGGACATCGACGGATGCTGAATTACCAATGGTTACCTCAGCAACTACGACCAGCGAGGAATTCGATGTTTACGGTGTACTTCGGATTTTATATTTATTCGAGTGGTAAACCTTGTTGACAGATTTGGGTCAGAGTTGTTGGAGCAAATTTTGCTGACTGTGCTGTTTTCCCGTGCATATTCTATCTACCACAACTAATTGTAATCGAATGTAGTTCACCTACCTCTGGCTCAAAAATCGGTAGAAGTGAACAAAACAGAATCGAGTAAGTCAGTGATCAAGTAAGTAAGTTAGTAAGTAAGCAAGTTAGTAACTAAGTAAGTAAGTAGGTAGGTAGGTAAGTAGGAAATTAAATCATGGAGTATCTGATTAGGCAGATAACTGTGCAAGTAAATAGATGAATATGTATGTAGGTAAATAAGTAACTACGAAGATGAGGAAGCAATTTACTAATTTACGTGATAACTAACTTACTAACTTTTTTTCTTGCGTACATACTTACTTAATACCTAATCTAATTTACCGCAAACTTGCCTATCTACTTACCTATCTACAGACATTTTCTTCTTTTATCTTTCTTTTATCAAATAAACATACTAAATTGTTCAGGAAAAAATCGTATGACTTCACAAACCCACCCAATCGACGTTCGTCAGCGAGCTTGACAAGATGCAAGACAGGGGTTGGCCTCTTTTGAACACGGCAAGAGTGTAGGAAGACAAGTAACCACTCTAGAGGTATAAAACAGGTGCGATCAATTGTCCAAAGAAGTTCTCATCATCTATTCAAACTTGTTTGTTTCCAATCCAATGTTATAACTTTCCAATTCAAAGGGAATATACAGTGCCAAGTGCGGAATCCAAAGCAATCAGATGCCGCTCATCAGCGACCACCAGAGCGATGCGTATGCGAGCTATTGTAACCCAATTAACTTCGAGTGTTCACGCA